ATGAACACAGACAATGCCTCTCACCACACACTGTGCAGCAGGGACAAAGGGTTGAATAAGAAGAACCATTGGAAGGAGCTGAGCACTGCTTAACTGATGAGCAGGGAGGCTAAACTCTTCCACTACTTTCACTTACAAAGCTAACATATTTGTAACCCCCTTGGGGTTTAGAGAGCACGGTCCCTTTAAAACCTGTCCTGGGGCAGAGGAAGTGCTGGGGTGTTACAGGGGGAGGAGCATAGGTACCAGCTTCCCCCAGGCCCGGGGGGAGGGCGGGCTGCTCAACCTCCCGCTCTGCCTCACCCCTGCCCCGCCTCTTCCTGCCCCCACCCTGTCTCTTCCCCACCTTCTCCTGCCCAGTTCCACCCCCTCCCCTGAGCACGCCCAGCCCTCACTTCTCCCCACTCCCTCCCGGCACCTCCTGCATGCCGTGGAACAGCTGATTGCAGCGGGCGGTAGGCACTGCGAGTGAGGTGGAGGAATTGATCGGCAGGGCCACCGGTGGACGGGAGGCACTGGGGGGGAAGGGGTAGATGGCTGACAGTGGGTGCTAAGCACCGGCTAATTTTTTTCTATGGGTGCTCAAGCCCTGGAGCACCCATGGAGTTGGCGCCTATGGGGAGGAGGGTGGAGAGAGGGAGAGTGACAGGGCATGTGTGTCTGTAGCTCCCAACAAGAGAAGCAGCTGAGGACCTGTCTGAAGCCCAGGAGGGACAGAGCAGCTGACTGGGGACACCTCAGGACAGGAGCCAGGAGGAGCATTGTGACAGGAAGGAGTCACCTGAGAAGGACAAACCAGAGCTGGACCCAGTATCCCTGTCACCCAGAGCTGTATGGGGCCGTGAGTACTGGGGCTTGTGACCTTGCATTGGGAATAAAGAGGGAGGCTGTAGCCAGGTAAGTGGGGAGGTTGTCGCTCTGTGTGGCTTTGCAGAGAGCATCAGAATAGGGCACCAGAGGGGTTTGTTGGGGAAAGTTCACTAGTGCTAAAGACGACCAGGAGCACCCAAGACTCACCACTGCTGCTGGAACTCTGCCCAGGACTCCTGAACTCTGAGTAGACGCAGTGCTTGGCATCGACCTTTTTATGTTGTGGTACCACTGGGGCCTCGTGTTGGATCTCAGCCTGTTTTATCTCCCCCCCCACACACACACATTCCCCCTGTTGTTTTTCTACCTTCATCCCTCTGTAAATAAATATTTCCTCTTCCTATATTTGTTGTACTATTCCGGTGTGTGTGCGTTTACCCCAGAGGATTTAGAAGAGGTGCCCCTGCAGCAGGGACGACTCGTGCCTGCCGACAGTGTGTGTGGTGGGGGGGAACGGACAGAGTGAGGGCACCTAGCTTCAGCAGTATTAACAAGCATGCTCAGTACAAGCCAGGCAGCAAATCTGGGGGAGCACGTGACCCCGCATGCTCTCTGACGCATCACCTGTGCCCTGGGTTGGAAGGGAGTTACCCTGCTGTACTCCAGTGTGCACCTGTTCCTGGCCAGAGCTGCTCTGTAGAGCAGACTCCATCGCAGCCCCCGCCATGTAACCTTGACTCTGCCTCCTGTGCTGGCAATAGGCTCTGGGAACGGTTCAGTGAGGGTGGTGCCATAATAAACATGCATGAGGATGGGCTATGAGAAGGTGTCATTGCTTGTATTGTGTTTCTTGGATTTGTTTTCCAGAATCTCTCTGCCTGCACTCCCACTGCCTTCCCCGTGTTCGCAGTCGCTGTAGTGACTGGTGGAGGGATTCATTCGAGCAGTCTGGCAGAGCTGTCACTGCGATATGAGGAGAGGGATGTTTGCTTCATTTCAGTGCTGAGGTTTGTAGGCTGTGACAGAAGAAGTGCACAGAGGTGTCTTATTGCCACGGGGATGGTCAGCAGTCTGGTGTTTGCTGCACCTGACCTAAACCTCATGTCACAGTTACAGAACTAGCTATACCTGTCCCTTTCTGGTCTGTCTGGTAGCACCTTCAGGCATCAGGCCTCCTGCCTTCATCTGTTCTGGGGGGGAATTCCTGAACTCTCCCACTCTTAGACAAGGCACAGGGCTACTGGACCCTGTGCATCAAGCACTGTTACCCTGTGGGTGCCAGACACCAGCCAAAATCAATCCCAGCTGGTGACATCAATGTGAGGATGAGCAGCTATTGTTTGGTAGCAGGTGTGCACAAAAAAGTTGTAATAACCACAACATGTTAATGTCATCTGACTTTTCAGGGGTGTTTGTGTATCTCATTAACCCCTTGATCTCAAATTTAGCTCACTAACCCCACCCCAGAGTCCAATGAGTCACAGAAAATTTTCAAGAGAATCTGAGTATGTGTGTGGAGTTTATAACCCTCAGAAAATATAGCCATAACCAGTAAACTAGAATCAACCTTAACCAGAGCAGAGCTACTGTCCCACCATAACGAGAAAAATCAAGTGTCATCTCAGAATGAACCCTCTGACTCCACTTATTACCCTGTTGAAGACA